AAAAACTAAAAGATTTGAAAATTAAAATAGATTTTAAAGCTTGTATCTATCCCAGAATTATCCCAAGCCTTAATCGAACCAAAAAATCTGAGCCGTGAACTTTTCCCCTTCCCATTTACTTTCCCCAACGAACATCAAAACAAATCATCGATCATTATCCTGTTTATTTTCCTAATGAGCTAAATATGGATGTTTATTTTCAGGAAATTGAAAGAAAATGAAGCATTTTGAACAATCCTTTGTTTGAATGGGTGGTTAAAAATAGAAAACTGTTATTTCGAGAATAATTTTGTACCAATATACAGTAGCGGACATAATTTTGGAAACTTTTGTTTTTTGGAAAAAAATTTTCTTAGGAAAATCTGATTCGGTATGTTTACTAGCGAAAATATGTAGACCTAAAAAGCACGTAATAATCCATCGACGGAACTGCTGAACTCTTTGAAAACTATTATTTTTAATGCATTTATCTATAAAGCCAGAGGACATACATTTGGAAACTTTCATAAAAATCTCAAGTATATTACTTTTTTGTTCTATTTTTACCTTTTTAAACCTCTACTAATTATTTTAACTTTTTTTTATAGATGGACAGCAAGAGAGAGTTCAACAGAGAAACGCGAAGATGCATGGATGCACCAAAATAGGCAGAAGCAGACATTTATCGCTCGACCTCTTGGTATTTCAAAGAGTACTGTATCAAAAATTTTAAAAAGATACGCTCGAACTGGAACAGCAAATGTTCATAAGCATACGGGAAAACACAGAAAGACGACAAAGCGAGATGGTTTGCAGATGAAAGCTCTTTCAAAGGCTGATCCAAAGAAGTCATCGGTCGAGATTTACGCGGATTTGCCTGACAAAGTCAAAAAGGAAATTAGTTCAAAGACAGTACAACGTCGTTTACGTGGATTTGGATTGTTTGGTCGACGTCCTGCTCATACGACGCTGATCTTTGCAAAGAATCTCAAGCTTCGGTTCAAATTCACAGAAGAGCATCGATATTGGACGGCTCAACAATGGTCTATTTGCCTCTTTTCGGACGAAAGTATGTTCGAATTGTTTGAATCTGATGGCATTCGATATGTTCGTCGTCATATCAACAAAAGGTTCAGTAAAGGATGCGTAATTCCGACTTTGAAGCATGGCGGTGGTAGTGATCTTGTATGGAGTGGCTTTTCAGCTTACGGAATGATCCCATTAAAATGCACTGATGGAATTATAGACAAACGTGCTTGCTTGGACATTTTATCGAAACATAAGCTTCCCTCCAGTTGAATGCCTTCCAGTTGATGCCTTCCAACTTTCTTTTTCAACAGGACAAACATACTTCGCGGCTTGTAAAGAGCTGGTTTCAGAAGGAAGGCATTATTTTATGGAATGGCCGAGCCAGAGTTCTGATTTAAACCATATTTAACATCTATAGGAAGTTCTAGAGAGAGCCTGTCCGGCGTTCAGAGCCATAATCTTAATGAAAAATTCGAGCCTTTGGCTAAGAAGTGGATGGAAATTCAAACAACAACCATCGACAACTTGGTCGCTTCGAAGAGCGCTCGGTGCCAGGCTATTATTGATTCTAAAGGATCTTCCACAAAGTATTGAATTGATTTATTTGTTTTTGTTTTAATTTAGAAGTTTAATGGTTTGTTACGTCATTATTTAGAGCTGTCTTTAAAAGTTTCCAAATGTATGTCCTCTGGCTTTATAGATAAATGCATTAAAAATAATAGTTTTCAAAGAGTTCAGCAGTTCCGTCGATGGATTATTACGTGCTTTTTAGGTCTACATATTTTCGCTAGTAAACATACCGAATCAGATTTTCCTAAGAAAATTTTTTTCCAAAAAACAAAAGTTTCCAAAATTATGTCCGCTACTGTATAACAAGCTGCAGTGAGTGTAAAATGAAAGTAAAATCTTTCAATAGGAAAGATATTTTTCGCTTTGAGCGCTCACTAGCATTGCTAAAACTAAAACTTTGTTTAAGGATATTGCAAGCTCCAGTCTCTTTTATTACTACAATAATCTGGCAAATAGTAAACTCCATGGTAAATATTCGCTCCATAGAAAGGTTGTTGTGTGGACAAAGAGTATCGTCAAGGACCAGCAAATGGTGGTTATCATCATGAACCCAAAAACTGTCGAGGTCCAAATCCAGATCGATCCCTAACTTTGTTTTAAATCTCTTTGCAAAGTTTCCTCTCAAATACTTTTTCTATCAAAATATCGTTGCGATTTTAAGGTTTAAATTTTAAGATCTAAATGAATACGGTTTTGAACAGCCCTGTCTGAAGCCCAAAATTTGTACCCACGATTTTCTACGGTACTTCAAATTCAGAATTTTTCAAATTTTAAAATGGGTGGTTAAAAATAGAAAACTGTTATTTCGAGAATAATTTTGTACCAATATATAACAAGGTGCAGTGAGTGTAAAATGAAAGTAAAATCTTTTCAATAGAAAAGATATTTTTGCTTTGAGCGCTTGCTCACTAGCATTGACGCTTTACCGCTAAGATTTGGAATAAAACTTTGTTCAAGTTTCTTTTATTACTACAATAATCTGGCAAATAGTAAACTCCATGGTAAATATTCGCTCCATAGAAAGGTTGTTGAGTTTCGAAATTTCAAATTTAGAATTTTTCAAATTTTATGATCTTTGAAAACATTTTTGGAAAGTGATTTTAATAGACATAGAAGGATCAAAGTTCTGAACGGGAAATTTTCAAATAGAAAACGTCAATTGAAAATCTATTATTAACAAATACACAAAACGAACCCGTTGGTACATCAATCGATGAAAGACTTTGATCTTTTTGTGGGAACTTGGGGACTTTTGAAAGGAAAAACGAAAAACTAAGTTTATTAAGAGATCACAAGTCCATTTTGTTGTATAAAATGGGCGATGAACATTGAGATTCGTTCGAAAAGCTTTGACTGAAATGGCGATGAAAATTCTAACGCCGTTGGCTGTATTTGTGACAGGTACGTGACTTTTCCTTACTAAAGTTTTCATTGCTATCTTTTTAAACTTTTCGAAAACTTTAAAGAAAACTACCTCAAAGAACTAAACAAAGCCAACTTTCAGCTGTCTCAGCCCAATTCGAGGTTCCAATGGTTCGCAGTGTTGACAACTCAACAATTTTCCCCGTTGCTGTTCAGAATCACATTTTGGCCGTACGTTTATTATCAAAGAATGAACAGCTTTAAGTTAATATTAAAAGAATTGTACTGCACGTTATTCATTGTACTCATTTTCTTTTGTCTGTAAATAATTAGTGCATTCAGACACTCAATGGGCTTCGAGCGAGAGTGGCAAGAGGAGTGGAACCGTGGGCAAGAAGTATGCATTCTTTTCACAAAAAAACTCATGTTAGCCTTGATCAGGCACTCTAGGCACAGTTTTAGAGTCTTGTATCGTAGTATAGTAGAGCTGTTCATTTTCGGTCTGATTTTCGATAGGTGTACAACGGAAAAATGAAATTGGACCACTTCAACGACTACTTTTCGGGATTTCTTGCTACCAGAAGGTAGAATTTTTCAAGCTCTATCTTTTGGTCTAAAAACCGCTGAAAAAGTAGCCGTTGAAGTGAGCAAACCTCGTTTTTCCGTTGTACACCTATTGACAGTTTGACCGAAAATGAACCCTACATTCTGGTACATGGTAACCCAGTTTGACCTGACTAGTGGCTTCTAGACTGATCTGAAGTAGCAATTTTAAAAGTAAACTAGTGAAAACGTCAACAATGTAAAGGTATAAGAGTCCACTTAAAAACAGAATCCAATTTTAGAACCGAAAGGCACCTTTTATCCAAAAGCGGCCAGAATGTACAAGCTGGTAAATTCTAAGAACTGAGCTATACATATAACTGACTCAGCTCTGGGATCCAGTCTTGGCTAGAGATGCTCGCACACGGCTGGACACACTCGAGTTTCTGAGGGATCCAAATCCAGAGGGGATTAGAGTCGGAACGTTGGATGGATTGGTGAGTGTTAAGGAATTGTTCAAAAACTTGAAAGTTTGTCTTTAGTCTTAGAATTATTTATTCATTTTATTCTTTATCCAATCATGATTTTCCATAGGTACCAATCAGTACCGACTGCTGCACTGGCGAGCTTTTCATCGGCACCATTCGTGGGACTACTCAGAACCATAAAAAAAGTGCTCAACAATACTGTGCGTTTTTTGAATTGGCCTCTCAAGACTTTGAAGCTGCTAAATCTTATTGTTAGAGTTCCATTAGCCCTTTATTAAACTGACTAGAATTTTTTAGTTGACGATACATGGACGAAAAACTGGTACGGAAGGATGAAACTGGAAGGTGTTATTGGTGGTTTGATCTATCAACGTTATCCGCACGAAATTCACGGATATTTCTCTGAATGGACCAGTGCCGACGCGAGGAATCACATTCAACAGGTGAGAAGCTGAGAAAACCCTGGTCATTGGCTATATTCTAGAAAAATAAACAGCAAAAATTTCAGATCATTTCGGGCGACACACAGAAAATCGGCTGCGCCTACAGAAATATGACCGACTTGCAAACCTATGCGATCCTTTGTCGGCTCTTGCAAAAGTAAGAGATTGAGAAGTGATTGAAATCAAATTTCTTAGCAAAAGTATATGTAAAACTTTTAGGGGAGTATCTGCGGAGATTCCAATTTACGCAACTGGTGGTGCGATTGGTTCAAAATGTCCCTTAAATGCTCCAGTCAATCCAGCCAGTGGACTCTGCGTTCCAAAAGTGGCAGCTGGATAAAAGAGAAAATATTCAATCTTTAGCTTATTAATTGCATAGTATTCAATTGTTTTTCTGGTTATTTGATGAGATTTATAAAGTTTAACAAGCAAAAAAAAATTGGAACGCAAATGCAAATCAGTTATTATTCATCATCCATAGTTGAGCTCATCAATAAAGTAATATCCATCCGTATAACTACCAGCAAAAGTGGGATTCTGATCACGACAATGAACGCAACTGCAGGCTGGCAGTCCACTACGACCATTGTGACACCGACAATATGGATAGTTTGGGTTTGTGCAATTTGTTAGAGCACTGATGACAATCCCGTTGATGTCGACTTTTTAGTAGCACATCTCAAAGAGGGAATGGGCTAAGCGTTGCTTATCATAATGCTTACTACTCCTTTCGATCCACACGAATACGTAGAACCATCACAAAATCGTTGAATGCAGACAGTTGTTGTCGTTATAGTCGGCGTCACCAAGTTTTGGCTTGCTTGACTCGCCAAACCTACAAAACTATTCTTACTTTTTGCCTTTCCCCTACTTGCAAGCATAGCCGATAGTTGATTCATCGAGTGCTAAAATGCAAGTGTTGATTTTTACTTTCCTGTGTCTTTACCGTACATTAGTTTTGATCGCTATTCATACAAGTGAAAGTGTCAATACCGTAGTTGTGGTTGTCACTTTTTTTGTCGTTGCCGTCGCTCCATCAATGTCACAAATAAAAAGAGAAACAAGAAATATGCAAAAGTGCAACATTTTCCATAAAATTCAAAAGAAATTTGACACAAATTGGCTTTGAAAAAGAGCTTTTAAGCCGTTTCATTTATAAAAAAATCTCCACTTTCATTCAAAAAAACTACAGGGTGCGGCGAAAGTTCTGTCCTTTTTAGAAATCTCTCTGATTTTTATTATTTCATAAGTGTTTATATCCAAAAGATAGCCAATTTTTCACATAATTTAAATCTTATTACAGTCTTTAAATAACTTCTTTAGATTTTGAGTTATTACAATTTGCGTTGAGCTCTGTGATCGCACCAGTTATTAGTATTACTAGCATAAGAAAATCTGTCAAACAAAGAACTCAGATGATTGGAAATATTCAAAAAAATTGTTTATCAGTTCCAAACTGGAAATACAACAACGGTTTTCAATAGGTTTGTAATTTTTATAGAAATTTTTGCAATGAAAAATCGCAAAAATATGTGCAGACGCTTTTTTTCGAAGACCATAGAATAGCGATAACTCAAAATCTAAAGAAGTTATTTAAAGACTGTAATAAGATTTAAATTCTATGGAAAATTGGTTATCTTTTGGCTATAAATACTTATGTAATAATAACAATCAGAGAGAATTCAATTCAAGAGAATTTAGGAAGGACAGAACTTTCGGCGCACCCTGTAAATCAAGTTTCATTTATAGATTGGCCAATGTTTTCTATGTGTAATTCTCTAGATCTGTGTCTGCATCTACGTGAAGATAATTCGCTCGAAAATGGTGAGCTTAGGATGTAATTTAAGCCTTGATTCATTGAATTCAGTTCTGTCATCTGAATCACAGTTTTCTTCCCATCATCCAACCGATTCTCCATTTCACTGTTCTCCTACTTTTTTTAATGTTTGAAGTGGAATGGATTCATCTGGCTGATGATCTTTTTGGGATCTTGACAAATTTTTGTGAGTTTTTCAAGGAAGAAGAGATTGCTCACAGTAGATTATTGCAAAAACTGTTTGGAATCGGAAATACATTGCTTAACAATCTTGTAGTTTTTGACTATTTGCAAGTATTTATAATTCTTGACTTTTATGGGATTTTGATTATCAAAATTGCCATTTAAAAAGGTTAAATGAGGTTTGAATACGTGTTTATATACGTTACAATTTGTTGGACAAAACGTGAAGAGTTTCGTTGACCAATTCGACGATATCACTATCAGTATCGTAAACATTAATGAGTGGATTGTCGTAAGATTCTCCTAAATTCATCTCGAATGCATTTTCAAGAGACTTGAGCATTTGAGTTTGAGTATATCTGTTTCAGGTGGGGAAAATGAGAATCCAGGGATATTCGTAATCCCGTACTTCTCAAAGGTTGCCTCCTCCGATCTTTCTATCGCTGCAAACTGAATTCCATGTGAATTTGTCTGGTATTTTTAGCGGTAAACCATTGCTTCTGTGGTCAAAGCGCTGAGTAAACTCGGCCATTTTTCTCTTGATTTGTTGGAATTTAGTGACTGAAGACTGAAGATTTGACTGAAAACTTTGGAACTTCGTTAACCTTTTACTCGCAGGACACCACTCAACATAAAAGACGACAATCCATGAATGTCCGGAGTTTATCACTTTCTATAGTTAGTCTTTTATCAGAAAGCAGAAATCACAAAGAACAGTGAAAGGGGTACTTCAGAAAAGATTTGAATTTGAGTTTTGAAAAGAATACTTCAGAAAAATTGTCATTAGTCAAACGAACGAAGAAGCTCAAGAGTCTTCTTTGACAAAAGCTACGACTTAGAATTAAGTAATTTGCTTGTGACATCGAGAATTCGGCTTGTGAAGCGAAGTCATTTTAGCCGTTTCCATTGAAAATGACCTTGTGTTTTTGTTTCAGGACCACTAAATCGCATTTGGAGATTTTGAATCCGCAAACAGAATTGCAGCTTTGGAGACATCATGAGTCTTGATAGTTGATTATTCTTTTTAGAAAAGGCTAGTTTGTGTCTCACAATTTCTGAAAGGCACCTATTTTAGAAAGCTACCATAAACACGCAAGTTTACATTGTCATGGATCATCCCAATTTTGATATCATTGAGTCTTGTGATTCCTCATCAAAAATTGAGCTAATTAAATGAAAGCCGGCGATTTGGTTTACGGTAGTCTGAAATACGTGCTTTAAAAGGCAAATCGTTTAATCGTTTAATCTTTTATTATTAAGTTTCATTGTTGTTTTTTGTTCTTTTAATTAAATTTCTTAATTAAAAGAAACTTTTTCTTGAAATCGAGTGTTTTCTTCTTTGCAAAATCCTCCCCACTAATTACTTGAAAAAAGCGGCAATTGAGGAAATGGAAATCAATCTCAAGCTTTCAAAAAAGCACTTCTAAAGTTTATACTTGATAAGAGCAAGTAAAAGATATTCAGTCAAATGTCTATTTACGAAAATAGCGTTTTCGGGCTGATTGAACGAGGCGGCTCACAGTATCTCGAGTTGTACAATTGCAGGTGAATCACTTGTCATGGATCTGAATTTTTTGTTACAAGTTTACTTCTTTAAATCTAATAAAAAGCTATTCCAAGGTTTTTTTATCAATGCTATTTGTAATAAGCAACTTTTTTCTTGCGCAAATGTATTTCAAGAGTTCGAGAGCCAACGAAAGTGCTGTGCTTAAAGCTAAAAACCATCAAATAACTGGCAAAGCTATTCACAAATAATACCTACCGTAAATAATGTAATAGTACCCCATCCCCATAATGACGGTGCGGAGCGTTGGGTAGTCTAGCTTTGAACGAGTTTTTCTCGACACTGGTTTATGCTACAATGGGCGTTTAGGTACCAAAAAATGGCTGAAATTCAGGGCTATTTTTTGATACCAAAGACGCATTTTTTGAAAGTACGGGCGCTTTGAAAAAAGAAATGCTAAAAAACTTTTGTGACTACGCGACTGTACGAGGGGGATCGGGTATTATTACAGTCTTTACGGTATGTCATTTTTGATTAATTTTTTAGTCTTGATGTGAAACGTTTCTCAAAGTTTTTTTGTAAACTTGTTAAAAAGTTACAAACTCAAAGTTAAAAGTAAAACTTTTTCAGTGCCGCCAACAAAACCCAAGCACAATGGTGGGCTGAGGGAAAGCCACGGCCACTTCTTGGAGCAGCTCTGCTCACTTATGGGATCGTCATCGAGGTGCGCTCTAGTTTTGCTCAGACATTGTTAACTTGAGTAAAACTTAACTTAACTTAACTTAAGTACTTAACTTCATGAAAAGCTTAAGTAAAGCTATTGGCTGAAAAGTAATTTTGTAAAAATAGTGAAGGGTAAACTGCAATGAACGATGGAGCCCAACTAGCACGGTAGTTAATTTTTCACAAAAGCCTAGTTAAACCATTTGCATTTTTGATCTTCTGCCGATTGTCATTCATCATTTCAATTCGAGTTTGAAGAGTGTATTTTGAGAAAAAAAACACTTTTTGAAATCCATTTAGGGCCACTTTTGAGATTTTTCCCTATAATTAGTAGGAGTATTTTTGGATAAACTTTAAAGAAAATTGGACTGTTGCTGAACTCCAAGAAAATTCTTAGAAAACCAAAAATTAGCCGGTAATACAATGTATAAGATTTCTTAGAAGTCGAGTCTAGTTTCGAGAAAGATTTCTGGTTGCTAAGAGACACAAGGAAGTGAATCTTAGATGTGAACACAAAGAAGTGGACCCTGAGGCGTACTTTCGGCTCAAAAATAAACATCCACTGATGGGAATGAAGCCAGCGCTCACATATCTTTCCAAAAATAAATGGATTACGAGCCTCAGCCAATAAGTGTTGCACACTGTTCGAAAGCCGTGAATCTTCTCTATAAAATAATGTAAAAAGATTTTGAATTAGATTGATTCTTGAAGACTTGGGTGTTAAAAAGTAGCCGCAGGTCGAGTCTCAACTTGAGTACCTGTGCCTACTGGCAACTATCGCTTTCACCGATCTTTTCGCTTCAAATTTTTCCAGTATATTAAGGATATGCATTACGCATTATTTATATCAAAACTCAAACGACCAACTTAGATTCTATCGAGATATGAGAATCCAAAGTTCAAAGCAGCCTTTTTCGCCTAAAATAAGGCTTTTTCGAAAAATAAACATTTAGCTCTAAAAGACGAATAAACAAAAGAAGTTCTTTTGAAATAACTTTAATTGGCGTTATTTTCTAACGGAAAACCCGGGCCTGACTATTACCAGAAAAAGAAACCGAAAAACCAGAAACCAGAAAATGCTCATTCTTGACCTTTCAACTTAAAAATCACC